ATGTGGGATGCATAAATTGGATCAAATTATTGAGCCTTTAATGCTCTGCCAATGAAATGAAAGCAACTTTAAAACTCCAATATTTCTCCACGGCTATTCTACTTGATAGGTAACTTATGGTTGCATTTCTTGGCTGATGCTTTTGCAACTCTACGATTGGAGATGTACATGTGTGTGTTGAGGGGAAGGGAAGAGGTGGAGGAAGAGCTCAGGAATCCTTTTCCATGGCAGATGGGGCTGTATCTAAATTCTTACAAGCCATCTGTTCACCTGATTTTTTTTTTATGAACAGCTCAGACATGCCAGAATTCCTGATGAGCAAAAGCATCATCACAACCTCCAGCAAATGTGGCACTGAAAGATTTTTTTTAAAAATACTGTCTAAAACAATTTTTAGCATCAAGTGGTCTCTCGTTACATGATGGAAACTGAATGGGTTTAACAGTTGGCATTTTCACAGCCAGAGGAATTAATTTTGAACAGCATCTTAACCATGGATTTTCACACTGAATCTGACAAGTCTCCTACTATATTTTTGGTCAAATACAAACAACTCATATAGAGCTTCTCACTAATATCTTTATGGGATCTTCACAGCTTGCAAATTCTTTTTGGGAGCAGCATTATCTTTTACAGAACGTCTTCCACACATGTTGCTTCACTCTCGTTACCTCTATTTATAAACTGCAGTTATTCCTCCTTCATCCTAATGGAAAACTAAGGTTTGCTCATTGGGATTTCAAACTTGACATTCAGAACCTCTTACTGTGGGACGGGCAAACCTTTCTGCAGCTTTTCAGAGACACAATCAGCTTATGCCTAGGTAAAAAGGAAACACATCATGAAAAAGCTTACTCTATCTCAAGTAATCAAAGTTTACAGATTTGTCATTCTCCAAAGTAAAATCTCAGACAATGCAATGGTTTTTCCTTTACATACAATTAACAGTTTATGGGACTTTATTTCAACCTGTGTGTTAAATAGTTACGCATCTTCTGTTGACTAGTTCCGAACTTGAGTACTGTTGAAAAACAAATATGCTGTCAAAACTTTCTGCTTTGCACTCATGAAGACAATGAAAAAATGTTGACTTCCTAACACAATAACAATATATCCTGCATGAAAAAAGGGTGCTGATTGGATAGCAAGTCAAATATGATTGGTTGATGTGTTGCTTTGTAGAATGTACCAAGGAGTTTGCTTAATGCCTTAAATTCCACAAAAGGAGTAAAGGAGAAATATTCAAAAGATGACAAAGCATAGGACTGAGTAGCTCCTTGGTGAATTCTCTTCAACTATGAGTGGATCTATCAGAACTGACTGACCAATCAATCAACACTCTTTTCTCATACAGTATAAATTGTTGCTCCTTTCAATATGTAGGTACAATAATGTCATGAGTGCAAGACAAAAATCTTCGATTGTGAGTCTTCTTTCTCAGCCACACTAAAAGAATTGCTCTTCAAAGGCAATAGAATATGCTTTATATGATTTCAGGATATCCAAAAGGGCTTTGCTGTGAGAGTTTTAAAAATTAAATAATATAGGAAGACTAGCAGTCAATTGTGAACAAGTAAATTCTACTAAGAGAAAAAAAAACCAAATGATCTCTTTACACCTAATATCCAGGATTCAGCCTTTAGCTAACTCAAATTGAATCAGAAGGAAGATAATTTGAACCTCACTCTGCAATCATTGCAAGTGGGGACTAGAGTCCCAGCTGAGATCTAGGTTGGGTGTCTGTCTGCGCGTGCAGCCCTCCCGCATTACCTGATGTCTGACAGTCCTTAAAAACCCAACAACCACATGAAGGTAGCCACTGTGGCAGCTAATATAAAGGAATTTTCAGACATTATCCTGCCAAATTAAGTAACCTTGCCTTAGCTGGGGCCCAACTGGTAGCATTCTCACCATGAAGTCAAATGGTTCTGAGTTCAAATCCCACTCCAGGACCTGAGAACAAAAATTCAAGGATAACCAGCTAATAGTGTGTCCACCGTTGGAGGAGCAATCCTTTGGACCCTTTTATCTTCTAAGATGGCCCTAAATGATCTTATGGCACTATTTCAAAGAAAAGGAGATTTATCCTCATGACCTGGTCCAAAATTTATCTCTTAAAAGCATTATCTGGTGATTATGTTGAATGTTATCACTTTAGTGTTTATGGGAGCACATCACACACAAAATCGCTTACACATATCCTACAAAAGAGTCTACACTTCAAAAATATTTAATTGGCAATAAAGTGCTTTCAGATGTCTTATGGCCATGAGAAGCGTTACATAAATGCAAGTTTTTCTTTGTAATAAATAATTTCGCAACTTAATTGGATGCTCCAAAATTAAGTAGGAAGTTACCTTTAAAAAAAGCAAATACAACAGGACAGTGGATAATGTAAATGGCAGTTCTGTGAGTAGTGTGTTATTACTAACAAAGGTAGAGCTGCTCACATTAGGTTAGAGACAATAATTTGTAACACCACATGCATTATATCGCCGTGATGAATGAGATAAATATATATAATGTATAGCATTCTAAATGCAGTGCTGCAGAAATCTAATTCTGTACCATATTTTCAGTATGGTAAGATACTGATCAAGCAATGTCTTGATTTCAAAGTTCTCTTCCTGTGTACAGATTTCTTGATGGCCTTGCCCTTCACCATTTCTGTAACTTCCTAAAATCCTCAGATCTCTGCCCGTCTCCCGTGCTGGCCTCTTGCTTGTACACTCTCACCATTGGCACTAACAGCCGACAGTCTCTTGGGACCAATAATATTAAGGGTGAAAAGAGCTGGCAATGCAGAATTTGTAAATTGAGAAAAATGAGAGTTTAAGAAGATCAAAATGATCAGCTTGATTGTACAAGGCCATTATACAACTCCAAAATACAATCAAAGATACAATGCAAACATAGCTCCAGGTCTGAACAACATTTCAAGTCAAAGTCACTAACATTGTATCTGATAACTAAAGCTGTAAATAATTTGAATGCTTACATTTAAACAACAGAAAAATAATTAACCTGCTTTGCTTCAGTTAAATGTTTTCAAAATTAAATTGTTTACCTTTGCTCTCATGCTAAGCTTTCTGGGTTAAAGAAAATTGATATTTCATAATTAAGTGAAAGTAAAGTCATCATAGTCTTACCAGGCCATAGGGCTGCTTTGTCATTAGACAGAGAGAGACAACTTGTGATGGCTTAATCAGAGGGCCTCATGTCTCAGGTAGGGGGAAGAGGTTAAGGAGGAGAATCCTTCATGGTAATCTCAGCTGGTGTGGGAATTGAACCTACATTGTTGTCATTCGTTTGAACTGCAAAGCAGGCAACTGAGCTAACTGAAGAAATCAATTCTGTTTCTTCAATGCTCGTTTTTGCTTTTTTCAGCTTAATATGCTACCAAGATGTGTAATACACATAAATCTCTCACCATGTATCTCTCTCATAGATACAAGCTCCGACCTAAAGCTGATATATTGACTGTGATATTTAATAAAGCCTGACAACCAGCACAGGAATTGAAAGATTGATAGATTCTGATTTGCAAGGGATTTGAAGGGTATCTGGTGAAGCAGGCTAGAATGATGAAACTCCTGAGCCTAAGTAGTACTTTCCTAAGTCTCATTAATTCACTTCTAGCATTCAAAAATAGGCAGCTTGTCAGCCTTGTGTTGCTTCCTCAATTAAATGATTTCAGTGTGCAACTGGCTCTAAGCACACACAAATATCCTTCCCGTCCCGATTTTTCAGCAATTCGATTAGTTGATCTTTCTTCCTTTATTAATGGGTTCCCTAGCATGACAGTTACCAATATTCATGTGTTATCAATAAATGGATATAGCAAAGGCTATATGTTCTGACATCCTAGCTGTAGTACTCAAGGCTTGTGTTGCATAACTAGTGAAGTTATTCCAATATTGGGATCTATCTGGCAATGTGGAGAATTGCACAGGTCATGTCGTGTCTAAAAAAAAAAGTGACATCAAGGGGCCCTGCAACATTGAAATCAATGGAATCAGGAGAAAGATGTCTGCTGGTTGGAGTCATAACTGGCACAAAAGAAGATAGCTTTGATTGTTGGAGACTAATAATCTCAGTCCCAGTACACTACTGCAGGAGCTCCTCAGGGTAGTGTCATGAGGTCAACTCCATTTGGCTGCTTCATCAATTACCCTCCTTCCAATATTAGATCAGAAGCAAATTTGCAGTGCCATTCAGAACTCCTCAGAACCTGAAGCAATCCGAGACCACAAGTATCAAGATCTAGATGACATTCAGGTTTCAGATGCTGAGGGACAAGTTATAACTGCACCACTAAAGTGCAAGGCAATGACCAGGACTAAGAAGAAAGAACCTAACCATATCCACTTCGTGGCCAAATACAGTGCCATTACTGAATTTCCCACTAATAATATATTTGGGGTATCACTGATCAGAGTAGCTCATCCAATTCATAAAGCTTGTACAAGGCACAAATCAGAAGGGTGACAGAACATTTTCCACTTACCTCGATAAGTGGAACTCCTCCAATAATACTCAAGAATTTTGTTAGCAGCCAGGACATAACAGGCCACTTGAATGGTACCCCATTGACCATGTTAAACATTTGGTCCATGCACAATCTCACACAGTGGCAGCCTTCTGTTCCATCTATACAATGTACTACAAGAACTTGGCCTTCAATTGTACCTTCTGAAACCACAACATCTACCCGCAAGGGGGGGAAAGACAGAACATGCATGGGAAGACTATCACTTTATATTCCCTCAAATAGAACACTATTCTGACTCCGAATGATATTGACGCTCTTTTAGTATGTGGGTTACACCATGTGTAGTGCAGCAGTTAAACAAAACGGAGGTAGTGAAATAATTAGAGATGGGCAATAAATGCTGGCCTCACACATGATGGCCTATTCTGTAGGCAAATAAAAATAAGTCATTTAGGATTATTTACTTTAATTAATCCTTAGCAATTTTGCATCCTTATTTTTCAACAGTTTTTCTTGCTTTTGAGTTGTACATTTCCTACTCCTTTAGTATATTTTTCTTTGAACCAGTCAACCAGAAATGTTATAGGTATTTTGCATGAAATACAATACTTTAATTTTCATGCATGTAAATAAAGTTCAGGTATCTGCCAGGTTGTCTCTCCCATTCTAAGTAGTTTTATCACCAGCTTCTAATTCAACAACAGGAAATGAAGTCCACACTTTACATTTTCAAATTAGCTGCTTAATTAAGCTTTTCATTTATTTGTTTCAAGCCAGGATTTATTCATTTAAACCATTAGAAAGGGAAATGAAAACCAAGTTACATTTATGACAATATTAACTCATTTCATGTTTGGCGAAACTCATTGAAGAATCAAACAAAAACATTTAAATCACAAGCTGAAGTGCAAGCTTTCTATTATCACAGACTAACATGTAAATATTTTGTAGATTTATTTTCACTGAGGATTGCTGATTGCTTAATCTGAAGTTTTGCTCCTTTCTTCTGGACACTCAAAGGCTCTTTGATCTTCAATTGCCACTTTGCTCCATTTCCTTTATTTGAGTCGACTGCTTCTAGATAGCAGCATTACAATTCTTTCAGCAAATATTCAAAGTAAACTGCGTATCTTGTACACTTCAAATATTATCTGCAGCTTCACAAGTCCATTCCTAACAAATCACATCAGGCCATCTGCTGTGCCCTATCAGAATGCTACAAAGAGTAGAGTTGTCAAGTATTGGCAAGTCCAAGACCAAATAGGATGGCAATGTGAGGACAACTCAATGGCTTTAGCTCTTGTATTTTCTTGCTGATGATGAAAATCATTGACAACTTTTAACAACACCTTTAAAACATAAGTGAGTTGGAAAGAAGAGGTTTCAATTTATAATTTCTTTAGATTTTTGGGAATTAAGTTGATTGCTGATTTTATATCCTACTCAGTGGGGGTAAATTTAGCCTCTTCCTTCATTTAGGAAAATGACTGGATTGGTTCAATATTGATTTTAAACCTTCCTGAATTTTACTCTCCATTGAAACCTATAAATAATCTTAGGTGAAGTGTCATATCAAGGTTCCATCTGATCTAGTGGGTTTCCCGCCCAGTGAGCTAGAATCAAATTGCCCCTTCATGGCTAGTTGACTGTGAGAAATTTCTAGACAGCTTACTTCAAAACTACACTGGTGACAAAGGTAGTGAACAGTGCTTCGTAAAACAGTTAACATTTCAAATATTTTACTGAAAATATTAGATATGTAACTGTTTTCTTAATGTACTTTCCCGGTCTGTGAAAATACAGTTTTTTTTCACATTTGTTATCAAGTCTTGTGTCCCTACTGTCATGGGGTGATTATATGAAGGGGTGAACAGAAGAATCTGAAAGCATTCTGCATACTGGGCTGATGACCAAATGTCCACTTCTATGAAAGATTACTGAGAATTTGATTCTCAACTTAATAGATTCAATAATAAGCTGGTGGTCTTTTTGGAGGCATTTTTGCATTGTTGCGTTCAATTTTAAAATCCTTTTCAATAACATCCACTTCCTACCAAATCCTGAATTTTAAAAAAAGTGATTTTTATTCCAATTTTAATAAAACACAATTTGGTTCACACATGGCCTTACATATTTGGAATATTTTCATGCTTTTCGCACACTGTAACTGCTCACTCTGTACCCCAGACAGACGAGTGTAATGACTTCAGTCAACTTGATGACCTGTCTCTTTAAGATAGCAGTTTGCCTAACTTTTCCATTTTTCATATTACTGAGCAATGAGACAAAAGTCCCAAGGCTTTTCTTTTAGGTCTGTATGGATGAACTCCAAATTGGAGATATGTAAAAGATAGTATGGGTATCTCCAAGAAGAGATTAGTGGTTCATCTTCTATACATTTATCAGCAAAAGTTAATTGTAAACAAATGCTCAAATCAAGTTAAATGCCTCTACCACCAGTTTAATGTTTTCTACCAATTTGCTCCTTCAAAGACCTGGAACAACACATTTTCCTGTAAAAATCACATTTAGAACAAAAATAGTTTAGATTGAATATCTGTCTGCCTTTCCTATTCAGATATAATCAGCACTTGTTTTTATTTGTGGATACCGACAGCATGTTTTACATACGGGATTGTATATGGAAGAGGGCATCAACGTCATTCCCCAAAATCTAAAATAAGCACAGCATTTACAGTTGTATAAATTGGAACATTCATGTTGGCACATTGTACAGGGTAAAATGTTTATAAGAACAATATTAACTCAGTGCTCAGAAACAAGGCATAACAAAAGTGCACAATACAGTATTTATATAAAAAAATTAAAAAGCCATGTTTAAGGCTCTAAATTGGCTATTTCTGGAGGTCAAAAATGGCTAAGAAGGATTTACATTATTAAAAAACAAATAAAAATTTAACCAACGAATATCTGTAATCTTCAACCAAAAAAGGAAGTAACTTTTTAAAACCAGTTGCTTTTCCATCAAAGTTTTTGTTGAATGATTGACCCTAAAATATTTACACAATGAAAGGGACTAAAAGATAGTAAACCATTAATCATAACATTACTTTTTCTGGCTCATAACAAGAATCTACAGGGAAGAAAAAACCAAGGAGGGATTCCACAAGTTACCATGGTATTGCTGTGAGGAAGCACAAAATTAATCAATTTCTGATGCCAGCTAATGCACATGCTAAAATAAGATTCCTGAATTCATCAGTAAAAATAACAACAGTCATTTCGAAAACATTCTACTTGCTACTGCTCCTCAAATACTACTGCAGTCCATCATGAATACTGTAAATATTCAATAAACTTTGTCTGACAATAATATTTTGTCAATCAAGAATTATATTGTGAAATTCAAGACATTCTTAACAGTTATTGATTTAGCCTGAAATTAATCTGAAATTAGAACTTGATCACTGATAGTTGTATAGTGCATTCTAAACATAGTTGATATTGTATCAGTTTGTGAAGAGCAGTTTTCTGTAAACTTGAACTGGTAGCTAACAGATTCAGTACTCAATACTTGCCATCTTTTCTAGGTTTCTGCATGTTAAGGTTCGTGAAACATTAACAGCTGAACGCTGTTAAAGATCGGATGATCTAATAATTATTTTAAAACTTATAGCCCATGATGACTACCCACACGCATAACGTTCACAACAAGTGTGTATAAACGCGTTAACACATAATCTGAGTGGAACTTTTGTTTGACTTGTATTAAGACAGTTGATTTTAGTCAAAAGATTAAAAGGACCATCAGAGAGCTTCCTTTTGAAAACTATTTTATTTTCTTGTGACATTAAACGGTTCATTAGACATGGTATAACTGGACATGGTTAGCACTTGTAAAACGCTTTAAACAATAAAATTTGTGCCCCTCTACCTAGATGTGTTCATATTATTGTTACTGGTATTTTTGTTCCTGGATGTATTATTAAATTCCTATCGAAACCTGACCACCTGATTAGTATCAACCAGGACTGGGGATTAATTAGCATTAGAGTCCTTGTAACTTCTGGTAAGAAATCAAACAGAAGTTAGACTTTTAACTCATTTTTTGAGCAAGATTATTTTGACATGTTAGGCTTCTTTCGATACCAACATGAAGTTGGAAAAGTCCAGTGAATTTGCCATCCAAAGACTGGCCTTTAAAGAAACTGTTTTGAGTACATACATTTGATCTTTAAAAATGGCAGGTAGGAGTCAGATACAGAAATCCCACCTATTCCAACAGGTTCAATTCTTACTGCGAGGGGGAAAGGAATGACATGAATCATGAAGGACAGAAACTTGAACTCAGCAGGACCATTTGTACTCAGTATTGAATTCAACTTGAAAAAATTTTGGCAGTCGCAAAAGTCTGAACTATCATTGTGGGAGACAAAATTGATGGCACAAACACTCGAACAGTGGGTAAGGTCATTATGACTGTTATAACCTGAAGTTTTTAAAATGCCCCACCCTAAACATTTTTTAAAAAAGCAAGGTGCAATTCTCAGAGTCTGATAGGTTTAGATTACATAGCATCATGTCATGCAGCCTCATACAGTTCTTTGTTGTTGTTTCCAAAAAAAAGGGTATCGTTATTTCATTACAAATGCTTAGCAGAGTTTTAAAAAGCTACAATTATTTCAGCAAGCACTCAGTTTCACAGTTTGATTGACAGCTCAAAGAGGCTATAAAAGACTTTGATGCCATTGAACAGAATTTTGTTTTTAGAGGAGATCAAACATTTGAAGAGACTTTAATGTATTGAATGCATCTTATCAATGGCAGTTTACTCCCCACTATCAAGTATAAGAGTGAGAGCTGTGTAAGATTGTTTAAAGTTTATTTTTCTTCATTTTAACTCTATTCCCAGCCCAGCAAGTCTTGCCGGGAAATTTTCTAACTTGAGCTATTCTTCTCAGTTGCCAAAAGTCAGACCTAGATTTCAATTGCCAAGTGATTTGAGGAAAAACATAAGACATCTTGGTGAGTTTGACAGGTTGGTATCTCCATTGCTGGATTAAAACACAAGTCTTAACATGTTCTAGGAAAGATTGCAAGTATAGATTTGTAGGTCCTGGGGGAGGGCCAATGTGCAAAATAAGTGTACAACGCAAAAATAGAAAGCCACACACAGTGCCAGTCAGCAAACAGACAAAGCAATGTGTGTTTTCATCCACTTTCGATTTGGTTCTCCTGTCCCACAGCGTAATGTGTTAATTTGACTGGGTCCATTCATTAACTCAATGCATGCACAACAGCTTCATTTTCAATAATAAATCTGAATTGTTTCACATAATTTCTGAATGCTTTCTTGATAAGTAACAGCACAACTTGTTTGTTGAAAAACTAATTTTTCACCATAATCAATCAGGGTGTATAAAATTGATGATGCTATAGGTACGGAATGTTCCCCTCCACTACTCTCCTTCAGATAAATATCTCTTGATTCAGAGAGCCTTTTGCACAGAGCTCCCCAATTACAAAGAAAACACTATATCTGCAGGAGAGTTCCAATTCTACAAATAAATGACAGTGCCCTTTGTATAATTTCCAAATGCAATTGAAAAATGCATTAATTTTTAAGCAGTTGTTTAAAACAATGCCTCCACATTTCCATGTGAGTGGGACAGATGAAAACCAAAACTGAAATACACAAATCGCAGCAAGCATAAAGACTAGTGCTAAAGTCATCCAGAGACTAAGTCAGTCCGATAAATAATAAAAATCTTAGCATTTCATTGCAGCTTTCAGTTACAAATAATGATTTCTACGTAAAGGAAAACATTCAGATAAGTATAACTCACATTTTTCTCATTGGCCATTCATGTGCATTATTCCTTTCAGACAGTTCATTTGGATTTAGTGCTGCTCTTTGTGTTTCATTCTATCTGATGTCATTGCTAGGCTATGTTTAAGTTTCAATCTTCATTTGAATGACTGTGCTTTAAAATGACTACTAAATATTTTGCTCGCATTGCTATCTGTAGCTATTTTCCTTTAATTTTGTTGCATTTAATACCCAACTATTATGGGGACATTGTAGATTAGCAAACCAGTTAATTACAACACCTCTTCAATGTTCACTGATAAGGACAGGCTAGAAACAGCAAAATAAGTCAAGTTTATTGAAAGCAATCTCAGGGATTCTTGAAGAAATCTGATGGCTACCTTCTTCCAGTAAACAATTTAACAGAAGCTAAATCTCACTTTTATTCATACCTCACCATCATTCCCCCATGACTAAACTCCACAATGCTTACTATTTCCATCTTATACAGATCCATAATTTCCATATTATCTACTTTTAAACCTAATTCACCTAGTGATAAATCATTTTCATTTTCCACCATGATCCATTGTGAAATTCTGTAATGTTGTTATTTGGAGTTATTTGGTCAAGTGCTTTTAATAAACGGTACAAAACACACTTAAAACCTGGCAGTAAAAACTCGTAAATAAAATTTATCCAAGGCAAGTGGTTACAATTTACTAGAATATTATTTTTATTTAAAAACAGGCAATGATGGAGGTTCTTCTGGGTAAATACTTGGCATTTTGATACAAGGCAAAGATATGTTTCTTACTATTCCCAGTCATTGCTCCCACCTAACACTTGTAGATTATGGTCTGTTCATTTTTAGACCATGTTCCTTATCCCTGCTACACTATTAGAAGAGTTCATGCATCCTTTCTATAGGAATGAGGAAGGAAATGGAGTCAACAAAACAAAAATCACAATGCTTTCACATAACATCTGTTGGTTCAACTGATGGGACTGCTGTGAGAAACACAGGAAGAGCTTGTCACTTCACATCCCAAAGTTCAAAAGGTTCTTAAGAAGTGACGGGGCTCACATGACACAAGAAGTAGGGATTCTATCATAGTTCTAAATGAGAAACAGACAGATACCCGTACATCTTAGTAGGGTTTCCCGATGTAAGATTATGCTTGAAGTCCCGTCAAACAGTTATTGTGATATTCAACCTTAGCTGGTTTAACAAGATGTTACACAACTACTACCACACTTTCTGGACCATTTAATAATATTGAATTAAAACATGTTGAATCTTCAGTGATGTTTTCTGAGAAACACCATCATATTTAGTGCTAATCTGGTCCAAATTCAATTTACTAATTTTTAAAAAAATGACCAGTAACATGCCACAGGTGACTGTCTGTGTGGAGTTTGCACATTCTCCACGTGCCTGTGAGAGTTTCCTCCCACAGTCCAAGGTTTGCAGGTTAGGTGGATTGGCCACGCTAAATTGCCCAGGGATGTGCAGGCTAGGTAGGTTATCCATTGGAAATGCAGGATTACGGGGATAGGATCGGGTGAGTGGGGGTGGGGTGGTCTGGGTAGGATGTTCTTTGGAGGGGTGGTGTGGATTTAATAGGCCAAATGGCCTGCTTCCATGCTGTAGGGATTCTATGATAAAGCAAATTATAATTTCCACATTAAACTGGAGCTTTCAAACTTGAATTGTGGCCTCTTCTAGATAAAGTCCTTTTTCTTTATTTGCTTATAGGATGTGAACACCTGTGGCTAGACTAGCCAGAGGGCAGCTAAGGATCAACCACATTTGTGGATCTTGAGTCACATGTAGGCCAGACCAGGTAAGGATGGCAGATTTCCTTCCCTAAAGGACAGTAATGAACCAGTTGCATTTTTATGACAATTAAAAGAGGTTACATGATCTCCATTAGGGTAGTTTTTAATTCCAGAATTTTTAAAATATTGAACTCAAATTTCATTATCTACTATGGGGGGATATGAACCGATGTTGCCAGAACATTAAACATTACCACCATGCCATCACCTTCCCAAAATACACTTTATTAAATCTTAGTTAGTTTATCCTCTGAGACACCAGACAGTCTGGTACCTCCCCTGCACTTTGATACTACGGCTTCCTTAACTTCAATGTAACTAATCACCCAAAGTCAGAGCAATGACATCAAACAGAAGATTTGCAATAAACATGCATCCATTAAAGAAAAATGGATTTTAGAATAGAAACAATAAATCTTGATGATTACTAATTAGGTAGAAAAATACATATTTGGAAGAAGTAACAAAAGCTTGTGCAACCCAACATGAAGCTGAACTTTTGCTAGAAAATAAATCAATGAGGTATTTGTGTTTTTCTGCAACTGTTGTATTTATAATACTGATGTAAACACAGGGTATCAGCTGAATTTGAAAAAAATACTCCACTGTGGAATTTACTTCAGAGATTTTAATTTATATATTTTTATACTAATTGATTTACAACTACAATTGAGAGCAGTTTCTTGGATAGCTTAATTAGGTTTGATAACTGAATAAATAATAGAACTATTGATCAAATCATTACCTATGCAGAGAATTCAGAACCATCAATTTGATTGCTCGGATATACACTTAAAAGTAATTTTTTTTTTACTTTGGCCATCAATGGTAACGATCGGCAGTAGCACACTTACTTGAGGAAGGATATAACTGTATTGCAGCCAGTTCTGAGAAGGTTTACTACATTGATTCCAGAGATGAGCAGTTTGTCTTACTAAGAGAGATTGAGCAATTTAGGCCTATACTCTCTGGTGTTTACAAGAAAGAGAGGAGATCTAATTGAGGTGTATAAGATGCTAAAGGGGATTGACAAAGTAAACTTAGAGTGGATGTTTTATCACGTGGGGCAATCTGAAAATGACAGGTCTAATTTTAGGATAATGGGTAGTAGATTTAAAACAGAGATGAGGAGAAATTACTTCTCTCAAAGGGTCTTGAATCTGTGGAATTCACTATCTAGAATATGTTGGATGCCAGGACCTAGGCTACATTTGAGGAGGAGACCGAAACATTTTTGATTAGTAATGGGTTGGAGAATTATGGAGAGTGGGCAAAAAAGTGGAGTTTTGATTTGGTGAAGTTAATATCGACGTCTTGGGCCTGCAAATACTGTGTAAAGGAGTGTATAAATATGAATGTACTTGAATACAATCTCCTCCAATGAAACGAGTTTCCAAACTCAGCCATTCACTTATACGAAGAAACTGAATGGAAATCAGGTTTGTTTTGATAGGAAGGGAAAAATATTTTGAGCAGCTCGTAGTGGCTGGTTACAAAATACAACTAACCTGAGAGCAGGTTGCATACAGGCCTCACGTGGAACAGTACAAGGCTTAGAAGTACAAGGTCTTAAAAGTGACCCTATCCCCCTTCACCCTTGACCACTATTATCAATTCATTTTACTGTGGGCTCATTGGTATTCACTGTTGTCCCTTCATTGCAGGGTGCAATGTAAAGTCATTGCTTGAAACTGTGACCCTTGAAAGAGAATATTAAAAATTTGCTCTCTACTCTGGATTATCTTTTAAAATGAAAGAAAAAACTCTGCCAAAAACATTGTTACAATAATTTGGTTCTAAGTATCCATCATTCCTGGCTGTGTGTGTACTGGGAATGTAATCTATTAACTTTAATTTGTTTGACTTTTTTTCTTGATATGTTGAAGTGGAGAAAATAGTCATAATCAGCTGAAACCCCATTATGAAATATTTTAGCAGGCAGTGGCTTGGAGACGGCCTTAGGGAATGCAACTACCATTCAGCAGAAACTCCAACAAAACACACAGGTAAACATGCAAGAAAATAAAATAAGCGAAGGGTCACATGACCATAAATTCAATATCATATAGCAAACAAAACAAAAATAAAGAAAAATGTGCTGTTGAGTCACAAGTAGTGACCCTCAGAAGGTGGGCACAGGTAGAGCAACAGGGCGAGCATGCAGATAAGAAAATGTAGACTGAAGTCTGATATTGGGCAGTGCTATAAACAAATAATAATAATGTGATGGTAACAGAGAAATCTACCACATACCAGATGTGTGTATTACATGACCACAAATACATTTAGCAAGCCTGATTTGGTCTAATTTCAATTTCTCCATGCTTTGACAAAAACAACATAATTCACACTAAAATGTGAATCAAGTATACTTGCGGTAGATACAAAGATCTAAAATCATGATAGCTAATTAAGTGGCTGTGACTAAATAATATGGCATTAATGCATGGGCACAAATGCCTCTGGCATTTTATTTGAAGAATATTAATGGGTACAACTTGAGAAATATACATAATCTTATGGATTGTTTTGGCAGGGAATGAATGGAGATTGAGAAGAGGAAGAAAATAAACAACAAATTATTTGGAAATTCAATTTTAGAAAAAAATTTAGAATAGGTGAATAGTCACTACAATTCTCTTAATGGGTAGTTACAGATGAATTGTTGACAGCTCCCGTACGCTACACACAATTTTATCTCTGACGAAAGGAAACCACATATGGCCTTTTCAGCATGAATTTACCCTGTAACAAAAGGTGACATTTTAAAAAAAACCTTGATGTTTCTAAAGTCACATGCATGAGTTAGAAAATCAGAAACTTTGTGGAGAGCAGCATTCGGGTTACCTAAATACATGGAAGATAGAAATGTTTTGTGGTGATTCCAGAAGTTGCTTCTCTTGTTGTATAGTACAATAAATGGATTTAAGAGAGTCATTCTGCTCCCCCCCATCAAATCTCGAGAAACACTTTACACTTGAATGTCAATTTTAGGTACGAGTTACCCAAAACAGTACACTGTTGCTGCTGTGGTCATGGAGTACATGTATTCTGGTAAGTTGATTTCAAAATTCACTTTTCTTTTTGTTTCTTTCATTTTAAAAATGGGAAGCAAATTTAACAGTGGCATGCATCATAAAACTGCTTTTGTTTTTAACATGGAAAAGTAGCCAAGTTAATTAGAGCAATGGATGGCATGCCATAAAATAAATAGCAGGCACTTGCACCTTTTATTCATGTATTTTTGCCCCTCTCTTTTGTGATTTGCGTTTTATCATTAAAAACCAAACCAGATCAATAATTCAGCTAATCTTCCATTTTTAAAATAGTTAAGCAGAAGAATGTGTCCTTGCATACCAGCTCGCCCCATGATTCTTGGACCAGCGCACCACCTTAGGTACCTAGAGTCCAGAGAGAGGTAGAAAAAGACACGTTAGTAACATGATGAACTAAATTAGGAATATTATAGAAATCTTACAGGTCAATACTACTTTAAAAAATATACATCACAAGAACTTATTCAAAGATGGAAAAAGGTGAACTTAGGTCCAGCTAGAAACCTCTGGTGTTTTTTGCTCCAGTTAAAAGAGGGAAAAGGTTGAGCAGTGAGTGCTAGAATTCTGAAATCTTAATACAAAAAAAATCTAGGAATACACAACAGGATTGCCCGCAGAGGACTGAAAGAGAAGAATGTTAAAACTTTTAGATATGACGAAGGTGAAAAATGCAATTAGAAGACATTCCAGATGTGTTTTTTCTGAAAACAATGACTAATTATGCTTTGTGGTATTTGGCCTCCCAAAATGTATAGGTCTGGCAAGAAGCTTAAGGATTAAAAATAATCTACATCTCAACCTCAATTTTACCACTTTTGCTTTAATTGGGTGTGGGAAGACAGCCAACCTGCTCCCAGGAAGTCGCTTGGCATCTCAAGTATCAAACAGAGCTGTGTGCCTCCTTTATCAGCATCACTTTGAATTTACCTTTCATATAGCCATGTTCAGGTGGTTAGAAGAAGACGAGGTTTCTCAAATTCAGGAGTCAAGTGTCAGCTCTCTCTAACTGGATCCCTAAACTTTCTGATCTACTTTTCCCCACCACATGCATGTCCACTCCCACCTTAATTTTCTGGTCTCTTCCTCAGCAATCTCTGCCATATTAAAATTCCACAATACACAAGGAAATCCTGACCTATATATTTCCATGTGCCACCCAGGCCTGTCCTTCATCTGGGTGGGTCAAAAAATGAAACTATGCAACTTGAATATTGCTGAAAGGAGTGACATGTTATCAAAGCTTTTCATTATGTATGCATTTGAGAATGGTAAATTTAAAATGATCACAAGAACTAATACTACAGGAGGAAAGGGTGCTGATTGGTTAGCAAGTTAATGTTGATTGGCTGAATGTTGCTGTAGAGAAAAGAACAAGGAACTGCGGGATCCACAAAATCTCCTGGTAGTTGAGTGAAGTTTTATCAAAATGGGCAACATCAAGGGCCCTACCAAAAAGTATTACATTTTGTCATCTAAAAATGTTGACACGTGCATTAAAATCTTCAGTGGTAGTTTGGCTTCTGTTCCCTTGCAAAGGTCATAGATCCCATAACCCACAATATATGCTCTGTTGGTTCTCAGATCCAATATCATTTGTTGTGTTTTTGTCTTAACTACAATGTCTGGTCTGAAAGATATATCTTTTGAACACAGTCAAATAAGTCATAGTCCCAACAAGACAAATAAGCTTAAGTGATATTTTTTTAATAAACATTTGAATTTCATAACTGACAATAAAAACAGCTATCAACTTGAGTAGAATGTTGCTTCAAAGTATGATACTTTCAATTTTGGAAGTTAAAATTCAAAATCATACAATGTGTTGACACAATCTGACAGTAATAAATGCTTCTTTTCAAACATTTTGATTTTGTATACCTATACACAGATTTTCCTAACTTTCTGATTATAACATTTTCCTATAAATCAAATAATGATTATCTTGAATACTAACTAAATTTAAATGAATCTTGGCAATTAAATGCTGGCAGGTTTTCGTGAATTGTTCACACCAACTCTGTAAATACTAGGATTCATTAGCTTGGTTACTAACAGCACAAGTTGCAATATTTTTTATGAGAGCTTTTACTTTATTAATTATCTTCCAAGAAGGCGTAAACAGTCCCAGTCCAAAATAACAAAGTTATTTTATTATAATGAAAGTCAAACAGATATAGTAGCAATGTATGATAAGATCCAAATTCAATCCCCCATTCTGCTGAGCAAACCCACACATGTTGTAGTGAAGTGATGCTCAATAGATATTCCTAAATCTCCCAGAAGACAAGATGAGGGATATAAAAGTCACATAAACAGCAACTTATTAAAGAAGTTGCCTCACAGCAGGTTTCTGCACATCTTCTTGATTACAGGTGATGCATGATCTGGGAATTAAATGGGTTGGGGTTGAATGAAACATTTGTTTTAAGAACATGAAATCGCATCACCATACTTTCCTGAAAGAAATCGCAAAAAGAGAAGCTTTTGCTCAATTTCATTGAAACATAATACTATATTGCAATTTAAACTGCAACACAAGTGCGAAGCACTTTCAGACCATTTCTTCAAAGAATTGAGGCATTGACTTGCAATCAGAAACTTTACAAACTGAATACTTTGAAAATAAACACCTTTCCAGACAATGAATTCTTTATATACATTTGTTATTCTTTCAACAATTCTACATCTGCATAAAGTAGCTGTACTATCTGACCTTTGCATTGCTTGTCATTCCAAAACAAACAATGAAGCTATTTATCCACTGAACTGTACTGTTGTGCTACAAAATCTAGAAAATTCATTGGGTAAACTAGATATTCACTGATGAAACATTATACAAGAAACACACACAGAAACTGGCCACAGGAACCTGTTCTGCACTCAACAAGGTAAGACTGATCTTCTACCTCAACTCCAATTTGCCATTCCATCTCCACACCCCTTTATTCCTCTAGTCGCCAATGTGTATTGGCGACTAGAGGACTGAGCATCAAAAGCCTGTAAGGTATACAAGTCCAAAGATTTACAACCCTCATGAAAAAATATAATTTCATTCTCAAATAGTTGAGTCCTTATCCTACGGCTATGACTCCTATTTCTAGGCTCTCCAATTAGGACAACCTCTCCACATTGACCCTTTCAAGTCCTCTAAGAACTTTGCATGTTCCAATGAAATCGCCTCTCATCCTTTTAAACTAGAGAGCAAAGACTCATTCTAGACAATCCTCACACAACGCCCATCTCAAACGAGACAATCTAGTGAATCTTAGCTGCAACCTAAACAATGAAACATTTACATTGGTTAAGTACGAATGTGGCAAAATCAATACTCTTTAGGTTTTGACCAGGACTACCAGCATGTTCAAAAATACAAATCTAAAAATGGATTTTGGCTCTATATTTTCATATAATAAAAAAGTTCAAGTTTTTGGACATACATTCCGACAGAAAGTAGTTTTCTATCAAACACGTTGACCTCAATGCTTGCTCCGCAATGACATACTGATCAACCATTGTCTGGTACTGTTATACTGCAACTTAAATGCGCTGGAAGGATAATACAGAGAGCATGCAACATGTATACTAAAATATACAAACTTTTACATTAATAACAGGAATGCATTACATATTGATTTTCTGAAGTACCCAGAGTCAGGCTATACATTAAAATTACATGAAGTCGTAAACAATTATTTGCTCAAAATAACAAGCTCTGTAATGCCAGCTGAAGGTCAGCATTCATAAATGTGGGTTTGGCATGATCGCAGAATGTCAATTAGTGACATGAAAGCAAAATATGGCAGATGCCACAATTCTGCAACACAAAACTGTGGGCAATACTCAGGAGGTCTGGAAGCATAGAGGGGACAGCATGAGGTCAGGGGGAGAGAGGGGAAGGAGGGAGGAGAGAAGGAGAGGGTGAGGGGGAGGAGGGAGGGGGGGGGGGGGACAGAGGGGCGCGGATAGAGGGGACGAAGGGCAGGGGGAAGATGTGGGGGAAAGAGTGGGAGAGAGATAGAGAGAGAAAAAGAGAGAAAGTTAACCCTTTCATGCTTGTGACTTTTCACTTGAAAGTCTGATGAAAGGTCATAAACCTGAAACATTAACTCTGGTCTAGATTTAACTAGACCCCTGGGGATGGGCCTGGAACCAGACGATCTGGTAAAATGGTGGCAGTATGTATCAGGAGGCTACCAAGCAATATCGGAAGAGGTCAGAATCCCAAAACTGTAGTCACCCATTGACTGGATGCAGGTAGCCAAGTAGTTGGCTGATTATGAATCACTTCATGCACCTTTAATACAGTGTGACAATACTATGGCTTTAAGAGACATACTTCATCCATTTTTTGGAGAGGTTTTGAGCCATTTGTGATGAGCTGTTAATAAAGTAAACAGCTTGTGAGGCTTTGGGTTTTTTTTTAAGAAAGTTGAACAACAGAAGCAACACGAATGGGGTGGAGTTAGGCTCCCACAGGACGTTAGTTTAGCTTTCAGCAGTTGCTGGGATCATAAAGCTGGATGTGGAAGCTGTTATTCCCCTCTGTCACAGCTAAAAGCTGGAGTTCTCTCTGCTATGAGAAAATCTATTTTTACTGAATTTACCTTTGCCAAGGATATATTTATGGGATGTTAATATATTGGAACAACTGCTGTTTAGTAGTTAAATAATCTATTATTCTGCTAAGTTTTCCAGTAGAGGTAAAATCAAACTAATTATTTTCTCTTTTGTTTGGATTTTAACTGTCGAGTAAGGATAAAGCCAAACAGTGTAATTAATCAAATTAATCTGGAACACATCACCTTACACTTGTCTTTAAATAAGAAAAAGTTAGGTCTTGGCAATCTCCTTGATATATTTGAAGGGGGTGTGGTCTGGTCTATAACAACAGTGACCCTCCTGTTGGAGATGTTTGCCTATGTGACTTCACTGCCACACGTCAGAGTGTACTACTACCACCAGCACCACCTGACCTGAAACAGTCCAGCCTCTGTTGCTCTCTTCACAGAAGCTGCCAGACTTGTTAAAATTTTTGATTTAAATTACTCACATCAGAAGGGGTAATTCATAAGGGACAAATCCTGAAACTCTTTCTCAGGACCACTTCTACCTCAGATTGCTGGGTCAAACTGGGTCTTTCTGTTTATGCAATCATTTTAGCTTGTAAATAGGAATATAACATGGAATAATTTAAAGATACCAAAAGGACCATTTCCTAACACATTGGTGAACTGTAATTCCTGCTCAGACGTTAAGTATAAATTATTTATTTGATGTACATGTTGCTGTGTTGTGAAAATTCCAATACAGGATGCAACTGGTATGGAGCTTAGTGCTCAGGTAACAATAATTACACTGGAAATAGTTGTATACTGTTTGATTTGGCAGCAAATCCACTTTCTATCAATATAAGGAGTTAAGACATTGAGCATATAAAATTCTTCATTATATTACAACTGATTAGCATTAAATGTATACCAAAATTTGTTTTAGAATTATTTGTTTTTAAAAAAAGATAAAACAAAGTGAAGTAGTGCATTAAACAAATAAGCAAACTTGTAAAACCAGTAAATATACAGATAGTAAAAAGCACTTTCAGCTTGTAGATTTAGTACTGGTACCCATCCTACATAAATATCTCTGGAAAAGTTATCATGCACTTAACAAATCATTCCCAATGTGGTACTCAGACTCAGAAGAATGACAGTGTGTACATATACAGACTTGATTTGCAAAGCAGTTGCATTCTGTACTCTGACTCACACCTGTTAACCACTTTGCTTAGGTTTTCTTAAACAAGGAAGTGGATTAACTGCTGAAAAAGAACATCAATTAAAGTAAAACATAGTTCGCACGAAGCTGCTGCCTGATGCATATCTGGTGTGTTAAATGAATAATAATCATTACCCTTAGCAAATATGAACAGAATCAAATTTAAAAGTAACAGTTTTTAAAAAAAAAAATCAGTCAAGTAATAAAGGTATTGAAATTGTAATACAGTGGAGTAACTGAAATGTACAAGTTATGCAATGAGTGCCATGTTTTAATGAGAAAACATCACCTTATTAATAAACATAGATATGCAATTCATTAGCTTACTGACATAATTCCTGATCGAGAATTTTATGCTGGATACAATTTCAGTGTGGAGAAATTTAATGTGTAGTAATGACTTTTTTTTCTTAATTGACATTGTTTAATGTTCAATAATAACTACTTCCTCAATTAAAATGGCCCTCACTGAGAACCATTCGCTAAGACAGAAAGTAAGATAGAGAAAAAGTGAAAGAATGAAAATTCATTTATATTGCACCTTTCATTATTCCTGAACATCCCAGAGGTCTTTAAAGCTAATGAAATACTTTGAACTGTAACTAATGTTGTAACGTAGCACAATGCCAGTAATGAAGCAGCAAGACAGCAAAAATATCTCCACTGAAAATCATCTACACTACAATTGGGATTTTATTGCAGCACACACCTTATCTTTGCGTAGATAGGAGATTCTGTTGATAAGTAAGCAGTTAAAATTTAGTTTAATAAATAAAATTGAGTAGTCATTTAATAATTAAGTAAAATATGCATATAAATCAGAATATAATTAATGTAATTGTTTTGAGTATTATGTTCAAATTTTCTAAGATATCATTAAGTGATTTTACTTTTCAAAGTTAAAAATGGGTGTTTGAATGGGTGGGTATGGACCATAGTTATTAATGTTCACAATAAACTAACCCCAGTATTGGCACCGACATAAGTTCATGCCAAATGTAATCTCACTGAGTAGGCAAAAAATATTTGTATATTCTCTCTCCCTACTACATAATCCTTCAAAGAAAAGTTTACATAGTGCACAATGATCCTGTGTATTGCACTTCGTCGCATTTTCATATCTGTGTGTAACACAGAGTGTGCCCTTTACGACAAAACGTTCATCTCAAGTTTTCTTAAAATTAGATGTAAGTCATTGCACCTTTGGTATTTCTGTCCAAATATACTTCCACATAGGATGTTGGAACGTATCCTTCCTCGTCTTCATTCCTTCGGACTCTTGTCCAACCATCTCCTTTATCTTCCTCTATCACGCTCAGTGTTTCTCCTTCTGCCATTGCTATTGTTCCTTCATTTTGACCTGAATTGAAATAAGTGACACAAATGAGATGACAAACACAAACAAACACTTTTGGGCAAAACTCCTTTATGTTTTCGATTATTCTTTTGCATGCTTTGATTTGAAACTGTAGAGTTTTCTTGAGACTTGTAGATTAGTTAATTATCTTCAGTTGGGAAATTTGTGCACGTTGCTGTTTTTGTTTCTTTGTGACCCCTGATTCCAATTAAAACAAAACACATGAAAAGACTTGGTTTATATTCTTCTATTATTTGCACAATTTTTCAGTTGATATTGCAGCCATCTCAGCCCTACGCAACGACAATTTCGTTCTGCAAATACTTGTTAGATCCAAACTGTCTTCTGGCTAACTCTTCTGGTGGTTTTCCCTGTGATCAGCGTCCACCCTTACCAACCCAAGTTCGTTTAAGTAAACTTGGACCCTTTTGTTCAATGACAGACTGGTGTGCATTTTAAACCCTTACCGTCCTGTCAAACAGCATAAGCAAACAATCAGAGATAGCAAGAACTGCAGATGCAGGAATCAGACTTAACACAGTGTGGAGTTGGCGGAACACAGCAGGCCAGACAGCATCAGAGGAGCAGGAAAGTTGACTTTTTGGGTCGGGACCCTTCTTCAGAAATATTTTAAGAAGGGTCCCGACCCGAAACGTCAATTTTTCTGCTCCTCTGATGCTGCCTGGCCTGTTGTGTTCCTCCAGCTCCACACTGTTATCAATGAGCAAACAATCATACTGGAATCTCTAAAAAGCGCAACTAAAACTTTGATTCTCATCCTTTTCCTTTCTCTTGACAGTTCACCACTACATCCAGTTAAAATAAATACTTTCCTAAGAATTCAGTGAGAATGAACCAGTAGGGTTAGAGAGGAGTGATTAATTGATTCGTCTGCTTTTGGGCCAGCATTTCAACCGTACTTAGTCCCCAGCCTCAACAGGCACATGGCAGGGTCAGTGAATTTACTGTGTGGGAAACTGCAGGAGAAAATGTAGCATTCCAAAATAATATTTTGTTGGATCTCTAGGAAATATAACAAATTACAAGAGGTTTCTTAGGAGTAGTCTCCTCTGCAATGTATATATACCTTCAAAAGGATACATGGCTTTGCATGTGCCAATTGCTGCCAGTATTTCTTCATCATCAAATTCATCATCAAACTCGCACTGTGCTGCAACTTTTAATTCAGGATCCTGGTTCTGTTCTTCGGTATAACTACCATCAGGGCTGCTCAAGAAATAATTACACAAAATAACTATAGAAGAGTGTTACACAAAATATACAAAAACAGATGCAGAAACAACTGTTGAATTAGGTGAACTGGAGATGGTGCAGGAAGGGAACGAAACATCACATAACAACATGGAGGATTTATTGCACTATATGCGTAAGTATATCTTCTGTGTCACAGCAATTAATAAATACTTACTCCAGATAACAGTGAATCATTTATTTCAAAAATAGTACAGGGAATCCAATGCAGCACAGCATAGCACAACAGAATCCTTACAATCCTCTACATTTGCCATCTGTGCTGCAACTGCTACAGTTATGCAGAGACAGTACTGGAACCAGTAAGAATACAAGCTTTTGAGGTGATCTGAAGAATAACATGTATAATGTAGTTTTTACTTTTTCACAGGCTATGGGTTGAAACTACACATATTTATTAGATGTAAAGACAAATGCATAAGTTATCCCATCGGGGTATGATTGGATTTCCAATGGAACAAGAAAGTATGCCTTCCAGTCATGATTCCTTTCTTGACACTTTAAACTGCATCAAAACTTGGGCTGGTTGTGTCTATGAAATAACCCTACCAATCATTTGTTTCACTACATTTAATTGGTTGAGGGGAGAGAAAAAGAACCAGCTAGAAAGTGACTCATCAAACCTCTATACAAGAATGGGATTTTTAAAATGCACTGTCAGCAAGAGTGCATGATCAGTGTAAGGGGGGCTTAGCTTGAATAAGACAGAATTCATGTCAGTATATCTGGGAATCTGATTCAAAGTAGAAATTTGGTGCAGTGAGGGAAAAGAGATGTTTTGAGTAAAGTTTACTGCAAGAAGTTAAAGTGTACTGAATGGGGGATTTGGTGAACGGCGGGAACAAGATGCTTTCTCTTTCATCTACTCTCTTCCCAGGTTCATTGGTTGTAGGAAACTACTATTAGGGCTGTCTTTAAATCACTGTAAATTAGCATAACATTTATCGAGTGGCTATACTTGTATTTAACAGAGAAATACCAGAAATGACTTTCCCTTATTGGCCTTCTTCAAGGCCAATATAATAAAGTAATATAAGTAATGCAAGGCAGAATACAGTTAATATAGGGAAGTAAAGTTAAGACATTGCAGAACAACTTGGTTGAGTGGAATGCATTGCCTGTAATATATGGGAACTCATGGACCTCAACAGAGTTCTAAATGACTGCATGTGCAGGATGTGCTGTCGACTGCAGAAACTTGAGCTCTGGGGTTCGGACCTTGAACGGCAGTGAGGTCCCTGTGACATATCCACAAGTCTGAGAGTTATGTGAACAGCATGATGAGAAAGGTGATCACGTAGTAGCTTAAGGGTCTGGCAACAGTAAGGGAATGGATGTCTGCCAAGCAGCCAAGATGAGCAGGAAGTAGTGCAGGAGTCTCCTGGGGTGCCACTCACAAGTATGTTTTCTGCTTTAGAAGCGACAAGGGTGTAGTTCCCCAAGTGATTGCAGTCAGAGTCACTGTTTTGGCACCACAAACAGCTCAGCTGTACAAAAAGGGAGGCAGAAGAAAGGAAGAGGAATACTGATAGGAATTAATTAGTTCAGGGAACAGACAGGTTGTATGTAGCTATAAATGTAATTCCAGAATGGTGTGCTGCTGTCTCCTTGGTATCAGATTCAAGGATGTTACAAAACTGCTACCTCTGGGGTTGCTAGAGGTTGTGTCAACGTTAGAACCAATGACTTAAGTAGAAAGGGGGATGCTATTCTGAAATCAGAATTTAGGAAGTTAAGTAGGAAATTAGCAAGCAGGACCTGATAAGTCCAGTGCCTTGTGCAAGTGAGTACAGATAGAGGGGGATAAGGCAGGTGAAGGTGTAGCTGGAAAGATGGCACAGGAGGGTAGGCTTTAGATTTCTGTGACACTGGGACTGGCTCTGAGGAAGAAGGCACCTGTACAAGTCAGATAGGCTGCACCTGAACATAGCTGGATTGGAATTCCTTGCAAGACATTTTGCTAGTGCTGTTGGGAGGGCTTTAAATTTATTTGGTAGTGATGTGGAAACCACAAGGGAATATTAGCATGCTGGATTTCATAACTTGCTACAGACAAAACTACCATCAAGAGTAAGTTAATAGATGAAGTCAGAATAAAGAAGAAGATAACACTGTCTAAATCAGGGTTATTGTGCATGCACATGAATGCACAGAGTGTAGTAAATAAGATTAGGAGTTACAGTCAGTTTGCCATATGGCGATATGATGTTATGGCGATAACAGAGACCTGGGTACAAAGTGTTCAGAAAAGACAGAAATGGAAGGGTGGTAATATTGAATTAGGAGAGAATTATCATGCTGGAGAAAGAAGATGTCTCAGAGGGTTCAAGCACAGAATCAATATGGTCAGAGTCAAGCAGCAAAAAACAGTATAATTGTATTGTTTGGTGTAGTCTATAAACCACCAACCAGTAGGAAGTATATAGAGGTACAAATCTGCACAGAAATTACAGAGAGATGTTAGCATATAGAGAAATTATAATGCGGTACTTAAATGACCCAAATGTAGGTGGGGATTGTGACAGTGCAAGGGACAAGTGTTCCTGGATTGTTGTCAGGAGAATTGCCTAGAGCAGTATGTGACCAGTCCATCAAAACAGGATGGACTGTTGGACCTAGTTTTTGGAAACAAAGAAGGCTAATTGGATCAAGTGCTAGTGGGAAACATTTAGGAGACAGTGATTATTATATTGTAACATTTAGGATGAATGTGGAGAATGGTCAGTTCAAAGTAGGAAAAAAATCAACTGGCAGAGAGTTGATTTCAATGGGGCAAAATGGTACCTGGAATGAAAGGTTGGCAATAAAATAACTAACTAAGCAATGGGCTATCTTCAAAGAAGTGATGGTTCGGATACACTGAAGGTATTCTCCCTCAAAAGGTAAGTTTGGACAATCAAATACCGGGCACCCTGGATGACAAAGGAGATAGAAATTAAGATAAAGAAGAAATGTGCTTATGATAAGTGTTAGGTAGAAAATATAATTGAGAACCATGAGGAATGCAGAACATTCACAGGAGTGAAAAAGCATATTAGAGAAGCAAGTAAGAATTAAGAAAATAAAAACTTAACCAACATAAAAGGGAATTCAAAAGTTTTCTATTGATACATACATCGTGAAAGAGTGGCAAAAGGAAGACAAGAACTGATTAGGTACCAAAGAAGGGATTTACACATTGAGGCTGGAGGTATGGCTGATATATTAAGCGAATACTTTGTATCTGTCTTCAGAAAGGAAAGAGATGCTGACCAAGCTTTGATGACAGAGGAGGAAACTCTGTCACTAGAAGTGTGCAAAATTGATAAGGTGGTAGATTTGGATAGACTGTCTGGGCTTACAGGACCCGATAAAACGTATCCAAGGATACTGAAGGAAGTCAAAGTGGAAATTACAGAGGTACGGGCAATAATTCTTCAATTTTCATTAGACTCAGGAAAGGTGTCAGAGGACTGGTCAGAAAACATCATGATCCTATTCAAAAAAGGTTGTAATGATAAACCCAGCAATTACAGACCTATCAGTTTGATTTCAGTGGGCAATGTTGTTAATGTGGTGGATGTGGACTTCCAGGGGCATTTGATATAGTGTCACACAACAGACTTGTGAGAAAAATAGTAGCCCACGAAATAAAAGGGACAGCAGCAACATGGATACAAATTTGGTTGAGTCAATGGATCTTTTTCAGGTGCAAGGAGGGTTTGTAGTGGAATTCCCTGGGGTAGGTATTGTGATCCCTGCTTTTCCTGATATACATCAATGATCTAAATTCTAATGCTCAGAGGACAATTTCAGAATTTGTAGATGATAGGTAACTTGGAAGCATTGTAAGCTATGAGGAGGACAGTGTCGAACTTTAAAAGGGTATAGACACACTGATGGAGCAGGGGAATAGGTCCAATAAAAGTCAATGCAAAGAAATATCAGGCAATGCATTTTGGTAGGAAGAACATTGGAAGGAAGATGATGTAAAGGGGATGAAGGAGCAAAAGGAACCTGATGTAGAAATGCACAGATTACTGAAGCTGCCAGGACAGGTTGAGAGAGCAATTAATAATATATACAGTATCCTGGAGTTTATTAATAGGGAAATAGAATATATAGTGTACAGATCTGGGTGCCACACTATAAAAATGATGTGAGTGCTTGGACAGACTGCAGAAGAGATTTAGAAGAATGAGTCTAGGGATGAGAGAATTTAATTATGAGGATAGTTGGAGAGGTTAGGACTGTTTTCTGTGGAAAGAAAAGCTAGGAGGAAATCTGATGGCATATTCAGTCATGAGAGGGTTGGATTGAATAAATAAATAGAGAGGAACCATTCCCTTTTGTAAAAGGACCAAGGATGAAAGGGCACAGATTTAAAAGAAGCAATGTAATTTTCAAAAGAAGCATAATGCCAGCAAAAAAAAACCTTTGCACTCGATGATTCGTTCAGATCTGGAATCCACTACCCCGAAATGTGGTGGAAGCAGGTGCAATTGAGGTATTCAAGAAGGCGTCTGTTAATTATCTGAAAAAAAATGATGTGCCAAGCATAGGGAAAAGGAAGAAGAATGGCATTAGGTCATAATGCTCATTTGGAGAGCTGGTGCAGACATGATGGACTGAACAGCCTCCTTCGGTGCTGTAACACTTTTGTGATTCTGCAAATCCAGTTGAAGTACACGGTACACATGGTTTTGAGGTATAAGCAGATACACTTCTGTGGGAAAAAGTGCTAGAATAATATGGCAAGAGGACAGATTTAGTTCCATCTAAAACATTATTGCATCAACCTCACCTGTTCCAAAATTTTCAATGTTTCTGACTTATTGATCAGATTCAAACTTCGATCTTACATGACAAAATGCAGCATCACCTTTGGAAACTTCATCGTTTTTCAATGTACTTATCATTTCTCACCTCACATTTTACTCTAGAAGCTTTTAATGCAATTAGCAACTATACTGTACCTCTCTCGGTCTTGTGCACAATTGTTTACAGTAGTGCTCTGCAACTCATGCATCTCACTTGATCGTTTTGGTTGATCAGTCCTGACTGGTAAACGACCTTCTACCTCTGCAAGCCAAGCCTGAAAATAGGGGTTAAAAAAAAAAAGAAATTAAAGAACAAGTTACTTCTAACATGGTGACCAAAATTAGTTACACTAAGCTGGAAGTTTACATCAGTAGCTCTGTCTCCCCTCCTGCACACCAGGCTAGGAGGTGGCACAAAATCAATAAGGGTGGTTGTGGGAGGGGTGCCATGTCGATCAGCTTCCCATCGTTGTTATTTGCCGGCGGCCAATTAGGTTGCTTGTAGCCTGTTCTGTTAAATCAGTTGAGGTCCTTAAGTTACCATTTAATGGATCTGTTCCCATTGCCATTGCAATTTTACCACTGGAAGATGAATACCATGCAATTTGAGGACAGATCCCCTCCAGTAAAAGCTGGTGCTCGCTGCAGGCTTGCAAGTAGTGGTGCAATGCTCATCAGGCACTCTGTGGGCCTAAATAAAGCACCTTGTGCTCCCCTCTCACCCACCACTCTCCCAAGAGTAGCTAGGTCTGTGCACACTGAAAGAAATCCCCGCTGCCTTTGAAAGCCACCTTTTACTTCTCTCAGCTCCCATCTTGGCTGGGCATAACTGATTGATTCTTGCCATCCCTGACCTCAACTATTTTCACTCTGGGCCTGCTGCACTCCCAGCAGCGGTTACCCACTCCAAATTGAGGTACCTGCACTCTAATTATTTGGCAGCCATAGAAGGTCAGGAACCTATAGACGGGTGGAAGCTATAAATGTATGCAACTGACAGCCTGTTCTAAGTGAAGTCTGTTTGTGACTTCTGTGGCTGGTGAAAATGGGTTTGCCGACAAATGAACATAGCTATTAGAAGCAAGAGTAGACCATTCACCTTCTTTAGCTTGTTCTGCTCTTCAATATCATTGCTGATCTGAAGTGGCCTCAACTTTGCTTTGCTACTTATCTTCCATACTTCTAGATTTTTCACTAACAAGGGAGTCAATCTAACTCAGCCTTAAGAATATTTAATGGAACTGTCTCCATCACTCTCTGGGTGGGGCTAACATCACCCTGTTAACTCCTGGTCTATATTTCTGAAATGTACATCAGGTTTTTGAATTTTGTAAAATTAACCTGATACAAGGTGCAGCATGCATAACTGTAAAAGCATCAAGTTTATTAAGAAAAAAAAAATATTAGTGTCACATGATGTGTTTGCAAATGTTATAACTCGAACATTATAGTTTATGCCGACCAAGGTTCCCAAACTAAATTAGTCCCACCTACCTGCACTTGGCCCATATCCCTCCAAACTTCTCTTACTCATGCCCTTATGTCTTTTAAATGCTGGAACTGTACCTGCATCCACCACTTCCTCTGGAAGTTCATTCCACACATAAACCACAATGTAAAAAAAAAGAGTTGCCTCTCATGTCCTTTTTGAACCTTTCTCCTCTCACCTTCGTGCTTAAGTTCGTTGACTTCAGCAGTAGGGGAACTACAATTAATACATTTCAGTACTCCCGATTTTTGAAGGATATGGTGTGATAATTTCAGGCAGATTTTGTGCTAAAATACAACATCTGTTGTACTCAATCCGAATATTCAAGGAGGCAAAAGTTCTTACTATTGAGAAAGTTAACAGAATTGCCTGTAACATTTTGTATAGCAACACAGTTACCAGCTATTGCACCTGGTCCTTAAAGAAAACCTCAGTAAAACCACAGGACTTATGCTGAGACCAAACATTTCAACTCTCCTATAAAGTGAGTCAGTCATTTGACGCATACATATTGTGGAAGCAAGAGAGAAAACAGGGAGCTAAGGACTAGTCAGCCTTATATCAGTAGACGGGAATATACTAGAATCCATTATAAAGGATAGGACAAATAGACATCTGGTTGATAGTGATCTGATTGGGCATAGTCAGCATGGATCTGAAAGAGGAAATCATGTTTGATAAACTTGGAGATATTTGAAGATATTACTAAAAAATTGATAAAGAAGAGGTGATGGATGAACTAAACTTATATTTTCGGAAGACATATGATAAAGTCCCCCACAGGAAGTTGTTTGGTAAAATTAAAGCACATGCAATAGGAGGTAATGTACTGGCATGGATGAGTGATTGGCTAACAGACAGAAATGACAGAATAGAAATAAATGGGTCATTCTTGCATTGACAGGCTGTGACAAGTGGGATACCCCAAGGATTTGTACTTGGCACCAGCTGTTTACAATATATAGCAATCACTTGGAGTTGGGCACCGAATGTAATATTTCCAAATTTGTGGATGATCAAAGTTAAGTGAGAATACGTGTTGTGAAAAAGATGTAAAGCAGCTTCACAGAACATAGACGAGTACAGCACAGGAACAGGCCCTTCGGCCTGCTGTGTCTGTATTGATGATGATGTCATTCTAAACTAATTCCGTCTGCTTGCATGTGGTCCATATCCCACTGTTTCCTGCCTGGACATGTATCTGTCTAAATGCACCTTAAACATTGCTGGTGTGTCTATTTCCACCACCTTCCCCGGCAGCACGCTCCAGGTACTTACCACCCTTTGTGTGGAAAAACTTGCCTTGCATATTGCCTTTAAATTTTTCCCCTCTCACCTTGAACCTATGCCCCCTAGTATTTGACATTTCTACCCTCACACTCTGATGCTCTAGCAAGAACAATCCAAGTTTGTCCAACTTCTTATAGTTAATACACTCTAATCCAGGCAATGTCCTGGTAAACCCCCTTTATACCCTCTCCAATGCCTCCACATCCTTCCTATAGTGTGATGACCAGAACTGCACACATTACTCCAAATGTGATCTAACTGAAGCCTTATACAGCTCCAACATGGTTTGCCAACTTTTATGTTCAATACCTGATTGTTGAAAGCGAGCATGTTGTACGTCATCTTTACCACCTTACCCACTTGTGTTGCGACTTTCAGGGAGCTATGGAATTGCACCCCAAGATCCCTCTGTTTATCAATGCTCCTGAAGGCCCTGCCATTTGCCGTATATTTCCTTCTTGCATCTAACCTCTCAAATTGCATCATCTCACATTTGTCTGGATTAAACTCCATCCGCCATTTCTATGCCTAATTTCCAACTTTGACAACCTTCCTCACTATCCACAATACCACCAACTTTCACATCATCTGCAAATTTACTAATCAGACCACCTACATTCTCATCTAAATCATTTATACATTACAAAGAGGTCTGAGTGTTTCCTTGCAGATCACTGATCTCCAATTTGAAAAAGACCGCTCCACAACTACCCTCTGTTGTCGGTCAAGCCAACTTTGTATCCAACTTACCAACTCAAAGCTACTCCCATGTGACTTAAACTTCTGGACCAGCCGAGCAGGACGGACCTTGAAAAAATGCTTTAGTGAAGTTCAGGTAGACAACAGCCACTGCCCTACCCTCAATCATCTTAGTCACTTCCTCAAAAAGCTCGATTAAATTTGTGAGACAAGACCTCCCTTGCATAAAACCATGATGACTATCTCCAGTAAGTCAATTTGTTAACAAATGCGAGTCAATCCTGTCTCTAAGAATCTTCTCCAATAATTTCCCCACCACTGATCTAAAACTCACTGGCCTATAATTTCCTGGATTATTCCTGATACCCTTCTTAAAGAAAGGAACAACCTTGCCTGATATTCTCCAGTCTTCTGAGACCTCATTGTGGCTAAAGAGGATACAAAGATATCTGTCATGGCCCATGCAATCTCCTTCCTTGTTTCCCTCAGTATCCTTGGATAGGTCCCATAATGCCCTTGTGACTTATCTACATTAATGTTTTTTAAGACACCTAATACCTCCTCCTTCATAATATTGACATGCCCTACAAATATCAACATACTCCTCCCTAATCTTATCATAATCCATGTCCTTCTCTTTGGTACATACCAATACAAAATACCCATTAAGGATCACACCCACTTCCTGTCTCCATGCATAAATGCTCTCCTTCATTCTTGAGTAGACCTACCCTTCCCTTAGCTACCCTCAAGCTCCTAACACCTGCATAAACAGAGGATTTGGGCAGACTTAATGAATGGGCTAGATCATGTCAGATGGAATACAATGTGGAAAAATGTGAGGTTGTTGACTTTGGTAGGAGAAACTTATGTCCAATATTTCTTAAACTGTAAGAGATTAGAAGGTGTAGACTTATAAAGTGACCTAGTTTCCCTTGTTGATAAGTTACAGAAGGCTAACATGTAGGGCAACAAGCTATTAGGAAGGCTAATAGAACATAGAACATAGAACATTACAGCGCAGTACAGGCCCTTCGGCCCTCGATGTTGCGCCGACCTGTGAAACCAATCTGAAGCCCATCTAACCTAAACTATTCCATTATCATCCATATGTTTATCCAATGACCATTTAAATGCCCTTAAAGTTGGCGAGTCTACTACTTTTGCAGGCAGGGCATTCCACGCCCTTACTACTCTCTGAGTAAAGAACCTACCTCTGACATCTGTCCTATATCTATCACCCCTCAATTTAAAGCTATGTCCCCTCGTGCTAGCCATCACCATCCGAGGAAAAAGGCTCCCACTGTCCACCCTATCTAATCCTCTGATCATCTTGTATGTCTCTATCGAGTCACCTCTTAACCTTCTTCTCTCTAACAAATACAGCCTCAAGTCCCTCAGCCTTTCCTCATAAGACCTTCCCTCCATACCAGGCAACATCCTGGTAAATCTCCTCTGCATCCTTTCCAATGCTTCCACATCCTTCCTATAATGCGGTGACCAGAACTGCACGCAATACTCCAAGTGCGGCCGCACCAGAGTTTTGTACAGCTGCAACATGACCTCATGGCTCCGAAACTCAATCCCTCTACCAATAAAACCTAACATACCTAAGCCTTCTTAACAATGCTATCAACCTGGGTGGCAACTTTCAGTGATCTATGCACACGGAATATTAGCCTTAATTGCAAGAGGATTTGAGTTCAGGAGCAGTGAAGTTATGCTTTAATTGTATAAAAACTTGGTTAGACTGCAACTGGAGTACTGTATGCAGTTTTGGTTTCCTTCTCTGACGAA